CTTCCTTCCTTCCTTCCTTCCTTCCTTCCTTCCTTCCTTCCTTCCCTCCCTCCCTTCTGAGTCGCTCCCCACGTCCCTTTTCCTTCTGTGGGCTGAGATATCTTTTGCGTGACGGTTGTCCCATCTGTGGCTCTTCCTCTGGTCTCCCCAGGTCCCTCCCGCAGACCACTCCAATATCCCCGTTCTCTGTAATGGCGACCCTGAAGGTGGGCAAGCCCCTCGCATCGTGAGACCCGTTGGCCTCTGTTGCTGACCGACCCCCCCAGCAGGGCAGCGGAACGTTAGGCAAATCAGCGCTCCGGTTCCTGCATGAATCGTCGAAGGGGAAAATGCAAATGTGTGCCAGCATCACTTCAGAATCAAATCCACCCAAATGACAAACAAAAAAAGCTGGAAAATATGTAAATGCTCCGGACTCTGCCCAGTTCCTTGATGGAATCAGCTAAACTCGCCGTTTCAGAGACTTTCAAACAGAATAGGACAATCTAGAGCAGTGTTTCTGAAACTTGGCCGCTTTAAGAGGGGTGGACTTCAACTCCCAGAATTCCCCAGCCAGCATGGCTGGCTGGGGAATTCTGGGAGTTGCAGTCCACCCCTCTTAAAGCGGCCAAGTTTCAGAAACACTGCTCTGGAGCTATATCTGGGGTCATGCTAACCCTTGATAGAATAGCCTTTCCTTTTCCTTCCAGCCGTTGAGGTTGATACAGCTTTTCTATGCGTGTAGGTGTTAACTAAATTGTTTCTCGCTAAACAGAAACTTTGGGGTAGGGAGTACTCTGTTCTGGTCCAGCTAGGTGTTAGCACCCATCTCGTCTCAAAAAAGCTAATCCAGGTTGGACCTTGGAGTGGAGGCCACTAGAAAATCCCCAAACAGGTTGGGAAGTTAAACTAAAGCTAACGCAAAAGCAAGGTAAAAAAGCTTACCTTATTTTTCCTTCCCTTTTGGACAGTATTAAGAAAGCAAGACAGAAAGGACCGAACTTGGACTATCGTGAAAAAAAATGGGTTGGACCTGATCAGGACTTGGATGGGAGACCACAAGGAAATCCCAAGACTGAAAGCTGGGCTAGGACCTTTGGGAGACCCTCAGTGTGATAGAATTCCTTCCCCACTGAATTATGAACATTGCCTTCTTTAGCTGCTTTCGAAAGAATCTTGAACACCCATTTGTATCCTTTTCCCTCCACTTCTTAATGGATATTTTCTATGATTTGCATAGAATGGGTTTTTGAGTTTGGCCACCGACGACTCCCGCAGAACAATAAAGTTTTCCAGAGTTTCTGGCTAGAGGTTTTTTTTAGCCCCCCTCCCAACACATGACCACAAAAGACAGACCGGAGGACTGCTGGGTATGTAGCAAATGGTCCCCCACCAAACTGCAACCAACAGTGGACCCTTTTTTCAACGAATCCTCGTTGGCTTTATTTGCAAACGTACACACTGAACGTAGCTGCAACCAGGGCCGGTAGCTTTTTTCCAAGTAGAGAAGGGTTGAGTCAATTTTTCCAGGATGCCTGAACTTCCTTTTTGGCAACTGAGTTTCACCTGTGCAATCTGGGTGTGTGTGTGTGCAAAAAGAGACTAGAGGTTGCCCCCAGGCTGGTCCCCTTCTCTTCCCCTGTGCATGGTTTCCTTGATTTCAAGATACTGGATTTTAAATATTTTTTTATCCCTCTTTCTGCTGTCAGAAGGTCAGACAACTTCTCTTCCTGCCGTTTGTGCCCAAGCTGGGACCCCAATAAAACATGCCGGATGATCAGCGGAGGGCAAAGAAAATCTATTTATTCAACCCAAGGTTGCCAAGTAATGTTGGGTGGTGGCTGTGATGGATTGATCCTCTGTCTCCCTCCTTATAGGTGTTTAGTTTAAGGATTTAGCTAGTCATTTACAATAGAATGGAATGGGCTTATTGCAAGAGTTCCTGCTTTATCAGCATGAACATCTTCCTTCTCTGCAATCCTTCCTTCCTTTCATAGTCTGTTAAAACAGGTGTTTCCTTATCTATAGTTAACCACAATGTCTATACCAGTGTTTCGCAACCTTGGCTGCTTGAAGATGGGTGGACTTCAACTCCCAGGATTCCCCAGCCAGCCATGCTGG